TTTTTTTTCTTACAGATTACTACAAAATTCTGGTACCAACAGAAAGGTTACAGATGCAAACTTTTTAGTAAATGCTTTAAAATGCATTAAATAAAGTTGAAGAAGTTCAAACCCCACAAAATATGATTCAAATATGAATTACAGTACGTAAAGTTTTGATTTTTTTAATGCAGATAATTTGAGGGATTTTGAGGTACAGAACAGAGATCTTTGTTCTAATAAAGATGCAGTATTCAGTACAATCGATATTACAAAATATGGAGAAGGTAAAACAATTTTTTCGGAAATGTACAACAGTTTCTTTTTATATCTTAAAATAAAAACTGTGACAAAATAAAAATAGAAGATATATGAGGAACCTACCGAAGTATATTCTTTCTGTTCAAGGTGACTACTACAAAAACTAAAAATAAATTGACTGGACTTCAATACATTTAGTAAAGAGAACATTTATATAGAATTTTCGTAAAATATTTCGCCACATTGTAAAAGAAATTAGAAGGAACCCTTTTCCTCCTCATAGAATGTGTCTAGAAATTCTGCTTTTAAACATAGGTGGCTAAGAAAGATTTGAAAAGTATATAGGTCAAATGAATTGTATGAAAACTTTTAACGAGTCTTGTTTTTACAATAGATGCTCACATAAAGTGATCGACACTGACAGAAGCGTCCCAACGTTTCTTTATTAGTAAACAACACGTATGCGGGGAAGTCAGGCTATTGTTACAAGTACTACACTACACGAAGAGGATAATTGTCTACTTTTAATGCTTGCACTTTCTGTAAATGGAATGGGTGCATTCTGTCTTCATGTGAAATCTGAAATGAATGTTGCAGACACAGGTTGAGTGCAGCATCTTCAGTGCTTTTAGACGTATTTAGCTGAATTGCACGTTACATAGCTTGATCTATTCGAGATAAAAAAAAATGAACCCTGCTTTGTGCGAGAGAAAAGTAAACAGTCTTAAGTATAATGAAAAATAGTCGTGGACGATGCAAGGGAGTCGGACTTTTACGAAAGTAAACAAAACGCTAAGCGCAGCATGCATTGGTGCGAAAAGGCCTAAAGTTAAGTTATAGATAATTATAAATTTGACTTACGTGTTTAATTCTTAACTGCTATACTAATCCATCTCTGTAACTAAAATGAAGATTATAAATCGTCGAAAAAAAATGTTTTGTTTTCACATTTAGTTTTTGTTTTATTGAACATTTTACTGTGGCACATTTGTAATTTTGGCATGGAAATTACTCTTCGACATGGAAAAACGGTTTGTCGATCTTATGCCATGTATATAAAAAGTTTTTGATTGGTATACAATTTTTCAGAGAATATGCAGATTATTCGATTATTATTTCGAACCGAACATTTCTCCTGCAGTTAAACAGCACTACGGATTATAGACAGGAAATTATGGTACATTCTCTTGCAATTTACAAAACTTTCTTTTCCTACTTTTGATTAAGAGAATATTAATGACAGCTATTTTATAGATATTACCTGTGGTATTTCCAAAGTTTGTTGAAGATAGTTAGCAGTGATCCAGCCATATATTCCTTCATCTTCACCAGTTATAATTTCGATGGCTCTTACTGATAATTGTGTTTCATTTAGATGGTCATTTAGCTGTTTTAAAATTTCTTCAGCTCGTGCTTCATTCGTTAATCTATACGTAAAAAAAAATGTATTTAGATTAATTCTTTACTCCGTTTAATAATTAAAATGAAAAATCATAAAAATAAATCGTTACAAAAAGCCATATAGAAAAGTTTCGTCTTTAATGGGGCAAGAAAATGTTTTCATATGATTAATATTATATCTTTACCATATACAACTCATCAATTGTTAAGTATCTTGCATATTTCAAACTCTATCCGGAATATTTGAAATGCAATAGAGATGCTTTTTTTTTTTTTTCAAAATTTCCTTCATAAAAAAGCAATAGTTATTTTTTAGAGAAATTTATATTTACTTGAATTTTTTGAATAAGCTAATGATTAGTACACTACTTATTATTAATATCGTGTTTCTTATTTCAGAAGTATTTTTCTTCAATCACATCAATCAATTCACTTCAATGATATGCACATGTGGAAATGCAACTTCATTGTAATTTAAACTAAAACAATTTGTCACAATAGTTACAATTCTCATTCACCTATTTTTAAAGTTTACGACTATTGAACATAAACTTCATCAGAAGTAGTTGCTTTATGGTCTACTGTCTTCTCTCAATTCTTTTATAACTATCCATTGAAGGTTACGGAATAGCCTCAATACCTTAAAATATATTATTTCCCTATATTTTTTTAGTTTGCTAAATTAAATGGAATAAATAATACAATAATTTACATAATTTTTAAGAATACTTCCTAAAATACAATAACAAAAAAAATTTGCTGAATTTTTAAATTCATTAAATTATTTCAAACTTTTAATCATTTCATTCATTTTCAAAAAATATTAATTATTTTCTTTTTATTCACATGGATATTTACAATTTTTTCCAGCTATGTGTAAAATGTAAATCTTATGATCAAATTGTTGTAGAGTGTTTTAATAAGTTTTTTTTTTTTTTAAAAAGAAGCATTGTATGATGTATATATTGGCAATGGAAATGACAAGAAAAGTTTTATGTTGATCTGTATAGATGATATCAAATTTTATGTTAACATTGTAAATGTAATTGTAGATAGTATACATTAAATGTAATTAATGTTCTGTGTGAAATTTAAATATTCTCCTTTAAAATTTATAGTTTGATTAAACAAAAATAGGTTGATTAAAAAATATTTATAAACAAGTTATAAATGTAAGTAACTTTTTTGATGAGTAGACGTAGATATTACTTCAAAATGTAACAGTTTTTTATTTAAGCAAAATAAATAAATAGGAATAAAAAAATTGATTTTAAAGAGAAAAAAAAGAAAGAAATTGCTACTCTAAAAAGTAGCGAAGTAAAATTCCCATGTCATGAATCAAACTCAAGAATAAATTTCATATCAATCATTATTGCCATTGTATTAAACAAATGTGATAGTTAAATTTGAGGCATCAAATTCTGAAATTAAATGATATTTCTTTGACACTTTATGGGAGATCAAACATAACTCAAATTTTGTTCAACAATTTCTAGAAAAGTTATAGTTTGAATTACATAACAGCATTTACTGATATGGATATTTGCATTTTTTACAGTAATAAAAAAAATAAAATCATGGTTTAATACCACTTTACACGTTTCATATTAATCTGATTTATTGTTTGAATAAATACAATTGTTATTAAAAGTTGTACATGTATATAGATATGTATTAACACTCCATTGAAAAAAATTCTAATTAAATAAATAGTTCATTTACTTTCTTACCTTAGCAACCTCATACCGGCTGTAGCTGCAAAGAATAAAGGAGTTTTGGGACGATCTTCAGGACCTATATGCTTTGTGACATCCTTGGCGCAATTTATGACTGGATCTAGTTTCATGGGATCCATTTCAGCTATTCCACCTGTAGAAAAATGTTACATAATGGATTTTTTCTATGCCTAAGGTTCATAAATATATAAGTTGTCGAGAATGAAATAATCCAGATTTTACGAGCAATGCTTAATTTGCTTATAAAGTGTGAAATTTAATTGAACCAATTGAATTAATAAAATGGTATGAAAATGTTACATAGAAAGTTTTACTTACCTTCAGCAAGACAAGTTACTTCTTGTGACACACATCCTGTTCCTTTATGTTTATCACTTCTCCATTTATAAACTATTGTGTTGGTTTTTGACGAACCAGCGTCCATTACTACACCATACTAAAATATTAATAAAATAAAAAAATTAAAATAAAGCCAAGATAAAGTGCAAACACTCTGTTTTCTCTTTTTTACATTTAAACAATAATTAAAAAAAAAATTCATTGCTAAATATAAGCTTTACATTTGAAACAAAGAGAACATAAAAAAAAATCAAATTTAGGATAAAAAAGAATTTATAATTGCATATATGAAAGAGTGAGAATCTATTTCAGTGCATCTATGCAAGGAGTAATATGTAATAAAATAAGGAGTAATAAAATTCTCCTCGACGATCGTAAAGAAATTGTTCGTTATGTTGAAGACTATTTTGTTTCCAAAACGATACTCCTCGTTCCATATTAAAAATGACTAGATAAATTAATTTATATTTTAAGATATTAAAATATAAATTAATTTATCTAGTCATTTTTAATATGGAACGAGGAGTATCGTTTTGGAAACAAAATAATAATACAACGTTAGAAATATTTCAATTTATCTCTTAAGTATCCCAACTACCTCAATCAGGAGAGCATGAGATTTAAAATAGAGATCTTGCGTCCGATTCTACGTACTTTTTTTCTTGCATTTATATTAACTTACAGGGTTTTTTTTAAAAAACTTTTCTCGCATTCCATAAAAATTTCTTAAAAATGTTTATCTAACAAACACCTGCAAAACGTATTTACTTTATAATAATTCATAGAACAGGAACTGCAGGAATGCATGCATTCAATTCAAATGTTTGGCATTTGCCTCGCATATATAATTTCAAACAGTCACTTTTTCCCTCAATGCTAGTTCAGTGGAAATAATGGAAATATTTTATGCAAACATAAGATGCGATAAGATTCTCAGATACTTTTGATTCGATGCCTTTACCTCTCCTTTACCATCATTTACCTCTTCGATGCCAAATCTCTTCATTTATAAATTTTGTTATTTATGTAATTTAAGTCCAATATTATTAATGGAAGATTTGAAAATAAACACAGATTTAATATTTGTTCCCTATATTGTTTCGATACGATATCAATGATCAAAGTTTTCTTGGAAAAGGTGAGGGCTAGACATGTAAATGTGTTGATGAGCACACCACCCAGTGGGGTATCATCTTTTTCTAGGCAAAAGTCATGAATTTATTCTCGAACGCAGAACGGCCTTCCGCAAGGTTAATTACAAACTAAATGAAATTAACGACTGATTAATGAATCACTCGGTTCATCGGCTGATGAAGAACGCAACCCTCTGCGAGATTTGGTGTGAATTGCAGAACATATTGAACACTGATTTTCGAATAAGACTTGGATATTTCTTCTTTCACTTTCGAATTGAATTTCGTCCCGTTGGCTTCATGAGTTATCAGAATTTCTCCCGGTCCTTCGCTTTTCTCCAGCTTCGTCCGAACATTCTTGTCGGTTGGAAAAATCAGATTTTGATGTTTCTTCTAGCACAAGACGAGGTATGCTCTAGATGCCAGAAGACCGAATCGAAAGGAAGGAGCAACTGTTGGATCATTTTCCGTTTGCTTACAGGAGGAAGGAATCCACGTCTTGTTTCTTTTTACTACTTGTCGGTCTTGTATCAGACGAAATGACCGACTAAATTTAAGCATAAAAATAAGCGGAGGAAAATACTGTGATACAGTGGGTAACTGCGAGCGAAAGGAAACATTTCAGTGCCACATCCGTCCTAAAGAGGCTAGGAAATGTTGCTAGTGAGCGTGATGGAGGTTAATAGAGTTTTTGCATACCGTACGTTAGTTACCGTAGGACGTCCGTTAGCTTGTTCTCCCTAGCGCGCATGCTCATAGGAAACTGAGCATGCGCGCTAGGGAGAACAAGCTAACGGACGTCCTACGGTAACTAACGTACGGTACGCAAAAAATCTCTAATACTGCAGTGAGTCTCCTTGAACGGGACTGTTACCCAGAGTGGGTATGTCGTTACCCATGGTTGCTTTATTTCTTATGGGTGGGATTTTCTTTGTGCTGGTTGCTCGATCGTTTAATTTCCTTTTATTTCAGGTTCAATAATGGACATTCAGTATCGCATATAACACCGCGACCAAAATTTAACTAATTATGTTGCTTGGCTTTTATATCAGTATCAAGCAACTTGACTGTCAATAAAAAGGCTTTTGTTTGAGCGGGAGAACAAGTCTCGATCATCACCGGACTAGTTTCTTTATGGTCATTGTATGGCCCCTGGTGGTAAGTAAACTCTTTTGTATTTGAAATAGAGATAATGAGGCAAGTTTATTTCTAATCGAGGATAACTCCCCGAATCTCACAAATCAGAATTTTTCTGGTGATGATAGTTTTAAATTTTCATCGTAATACACAAGTACTACAACTTTGTTATTAGAAAACTGAGGTATTATGTGTTCTTTAAAAAAAAAAAATGTGCACAAAATACCGCACTGCTCATAATCATAGAGCAGTCTAATACCTCACCGCTCAGCATGAAACCCAAGAGGGGAAATTATATTCCTGAAATGGTTCTAATAAGGACATATACGGTCAGGATAAATCCGTTAGACGACCTCCATTGCTGTAGAGATACCCAGGAAGTGGCGCATTACTTGAATTTTAAGCAGCTCTAGACTAGATGGCCTAGTAATTGCCGGCCGATTGATACACCTGGAAACTGAGATGTACCATTCGTTTATCAGATGCAGAGGCCAAAGAGATAGACTGCACAAACTAAAGCTCACAACCCAGTGTCTACTCATTTACCAGTATACCTTTTTTCGGGAAAATTGGTCACAACGGAGTAAAAAAACTAACAATGTTAGTAAAAGTCAAATGAAATCAGAAAATTTAATAAAATGACAATAAATAACTAGCAAAAATAATAAGTGATAACTAGGAATTGCAATACCGGGATATCGAATACCGGTATTTTGAGCCATTTATACAATTCTGTAATACCGGTATTCAAAAGTTTAAATACCGTGTTTTCGGTATTTACTAGAAATTTAGAATCCTTATCTGTGAAATTAATTAGTATAATTACAAGTACAATTGATGCATTATGTTTTTTAAGATCACATTTCAAAAATTTATAATAGTACCACAGACTGAATAGAAATATTTACACTTTTTTGTGATTTAAATAAATAAGATGATCCTTTACTTTTTGTGATTCTTTATATATTGTTATAATTTATAAATTACAATTTTTTTTTTGTGATATTTAGATCTCTAATAAAATTGGCAAATAATAAAAAAAAAAAAAAAACAACCTGTGTTTCCTTTCTTTTTCTAAAATTTCTACTACCCGTATTAGAACCGGTATCCCGGTGTGAAGATCTAAAAAATACCGAATACCGGTATTGAACTTTTGGTCCGATATTGCAATTCTTAGTGATAACCAGTGAAGAAAGCAATAATACGCAAAACATTAAGATAATGAAATATCAAATTAGTAAAATCAATAAACGAACAAAAAATTTATGAGGTAAATTCCTTCCAAATAATGTAATATGAAAACAAAAGAGCAAAGTCTTAAAAATGGAAAAGATAGTAAGAAGTGGACAAAAGAAAAAAGTCAAAGATCACTAGGTTCGCCTTGGATGCGTGATATCCGTACAGCTGTAAATGAGAAGTGGCTGTTATATAAGTCACAGAATGATTATGTATCACGTGGGAGTCATGCTTGGCACAAATTGGCAACTCCTATACCTATTCTATTTTATTACTATTATATGCTGATGACCAATACTTGGTCGAGTCATTAGTGGTGAGAAGTTATCATCTAAGGGTTATGATTTGGATACAAGCCATTATTCTCTGTAGAAAATAACTGGCAATCACGTCTAAACACTGCAAAGATACTGTTCGCTCTTGAAGTGCCAGTAGGCAAATTTAGCCGACTAGGCCGCAGAACATATCTAGGGCATTTAAATAATAAATGTTTAAAATAAAAACAATAAACAGTCCAAAAGCACTAAAAATTTGTTAACATTCCCTGTAATGGCTTTACCGAAGCAATTGGTAATGGTTTTAAAATTCACGATAGTTTAAATCTTGCTGATTATTTTTTTTTTTACTTCATTTAGGGTAGTTTAATTTTTTACCCTGTAGAAAATATCTCTTTAAATTTAAAATTATATTTAATTTGCAATAGATAGTATGCTTAGTATAGTTTTGTATGGAAAATGATAACTTTAATATATGTTCTTATATGCTGGACCGCATTTGTTCATCTCATAAAACGCCTCTGCTGTAAATGTTCGTGTGCCTGACGTCCGAGTGACTAGCGCTCTGGCAGTGGGTTTCGGGTTCGATCCCCGGCGGTGCCATAGATATTTGTAGTGGTTCGGAATCCCCTTTAAACAGTAGGTCCGCGTCTAATATTACTGTAGGTGTAGGGCTGACAACCCATCCCCATAAAAAGGAAACTTCCCCTGTTTCGGAACTGTCAGTAGACAGACGCCTATGGTGCAACATGGACAGTAGTGACAGGGAATTAGTAAATGTTCCATGTCGTAAAGAGACTATGGACATCCTAACAGGTGGGCTGAAAAGTCCCTAGGTTGACAAATAGATGGCACTACTAGTATAAAATCCATATGATTTTTAGTTAGCCCTAACCTTCAAAAGACACGTGTATAAATTTGACAGCTGTTGCACTATTAGTATGCGAGTTATAGCATTTTTAGTGTTCATCACGGGCAGTCCACTCGGCTGACTGTCGATTGGACTCCGGTGTGAAATGATGGAGCCATGTTTCATCCATTGTCACACATCGACGCAAAAATTCGAGTTTATTACGATTGAACAGCTCCAAACACTGCTTAGAATCATCAATTCGTTGTTGTTTTTGGTCGATTGTGAGCTCGCGAGGCACCCTCTTTGAACAGAGCTTTCGCATTTCCAAATATTCATTCACGATATGTCCAACACGTTCTTTTGATATTTTTAGGGTATCAGCTATCTCAATCAACTTCACTTTACGGTTATCAGAAATTATTTTGTGGACTTTTTTTTATGTTTTCGTCGGTAACAGCCTCTTTGGGGCGTTCACTGCATGCATCGTCCTCGGTGCTCATTTCGCCTCGTTTAAATTTAGCAAACCACTTCTCTACGGTTGATTTTCCTGGTGCAAAGTCCGAATAATGTTTATCAAACCAAGCCTCGGCTTCAATAGTATTTTTTTTTCACCAAAAAGCAATGCTTTATTAACATACGAAATTCCTTTTTATCCATTTTTTCAAACTAACAAAAGTTGCTTCACTAAAAATGTTATAACTCACATACTAATAGTGCAAGAGCTGTCAAATTTATACACGTGTCTTTTGAAGGTTAGGGCCAACTAAAAATCATATGGATTTAATACAAGTAGCGCCATCTATGTGCCAGCCTATGAACGTTTCAGCCCACTTGTTATGTAACGAAATTATTAATCTACGCAGCTGATGTTTTTAATCACACAAATTATATTGTTGAAAAGTTTTGTTGCTTTAATAATTTTGATATGAATAATTTATACTTACATCAGTCGGATAGACACCTCCAGTTAAACCATACATCATTGAAATTGTAAGAATGCCGATAACGCCTATTATGAGAGCACCTAATGCTATCAGAAGAGGCCATTTTGTTTGTAATGAAAATGATCTATCTAAAAAAAAAAAGTAATATTTTTATTTTCATTGTCATTTCAAGCTTTTAATAAAATTCATTTAGTAATAACTTATTCACAATTTTATTGTTTCATGTAAGTATATTAAATCAATATACACAGTAAAAGGAATGAAAATATATCAGAAATAATGATACTTACAGTATTAATTTATTTAAATAGAAAAATAATCAAATGATAAACAGTGTTCGCATCGAGGACTGTTCATTTAAATACCTAGTATAAATTTACAATACTTTTTTTTTTTTTCGTATTTTAGTTCGTATAAAAGCAATAATTACGAAAAAATTGAACTAGGTCATTATAAGTGTATAAAAGAAAAATGAAATCGGGAATAAAAAAATCTTTTAAACATTTAACGTATAAAAAAAATTTAAGAACGAAAATAAAACATTAAATAAGCTTATAAAGGTCATTAAACTTTTAAATGCTTGTGAAAAATAATTTTTTTTAGCCAAAAAAATATGAATCCAAACTTAATTTTAATGAAAATTGTGCTAAATAAAAATTTTAAATCATTGAAGTTAATCAGAAGAGATTTAGCCCGACTCCTGGCTCAGTGGTAACACGCTTTGCTGATGAGCATTAGGTCTGAATATCTATACACTAGCGGCTTGTTCAAAAATGCTGTCACGCTGTTTCAAAAATGA